CCCGCGACCTTACAGCTTGTAGCATAGTGCCTCAACCAACTACGCTACCGCGTGCTCCGATATTAAACCAAACAGACCAAAATTAAGTTCGGCCGAAAACGTATAATGTGAATATCGAATACCGAATTGAATCTTAATTTTCCGTTCATTGATACAATTTGTACAAATGACACACAAGAAAAGAATCGGTCTCAGACATGCATTATCCTTACAGAGCACGGGTTATCGCGTCAGGAATTTTGTTAATGGAAAAGTTAGAGACGATTGTGTTGTTTCCTTTCCTGTCTCGGATTCTGTGAGAAACGTAAGATGTTGAATATGTGCCTACACCATTGTGAATTTGCCCTTTTAAACACATTGCCTAATGTTTTTGATTAGAATTTTCAAGTCTTTGATTTTCCAACGAAAGTGGATAAGTTGGCTTAGGTAGGCGTCTGTTGTAAGTGATCATACCTTCAAACAAACCTCATATTCTGGAGATTTAGTATGTCCTACAAACGAATCTCTGACAGCCGAGTCATGGGGGCACAACTATTTCGTCTGTATAGTACGGAGAATTTATTGTGACATATGGACCCGTTGCTAGACAACGACCACGAAACAAATAACGAGACAATAGTCATTGCAAGACAACAGCTTCGTGAATACGCATCAGTACTGAAGTCGTTGCTAGGCAGTGGCCTGCGCCCAACAATGGAAGTACTGTTGGAAGCGGTGTTTTCTATGTGTTCCGCTCCGAGGCTATATCACTCGACCGACCGAGTCAGTTAGTACAGTAGAGTACAATGCAGTGGAGTGGAGCGAGTTGGTGGGTGAGTGAGTTAGAAGAATGTTGTCGTTCAGTCTTTGTGAGCTGTTGCTGTTAGAAGCTGGCAGCTGAGGAACGGGGATAGTTCCAGAACCGAGGGTAAGAAAAACGCCTGTCGTTAGAAGCCATTACTAGACAACGACTTGTGAAGACACAGCAATCTGAGAAGACTTATTGCGTGCTGTAGTCAACTGCATAATGTGTGACTTAGCGAAACCGCTGTAGTTACTTGTAGTTGCGTTTCTTAGGGGTTCAATAAATCCAATTATCAATCAAAACCCCGTCTATAGTCACTCATACACGTGACACTATCATGACTGTTCTTTAAGTCAATTACTATTTCTTATGTTTTTGTTTTGATTCCTATTCTTTATTAAGTTGAAAGTCTTGAATGTCTAATGCAAATGAATCGAACTTAAGCCCATACATGCGTATACACGTAAGTTATTCAAGTAACATGCATATCGTACTTACACCATTGGAAGAAAGTCTGAAAATTCTCAGTGTCCTTTTCGAATAGTGTACGGTCCAGTTTCTTTAAACTTTTCTTAATTTGTATGTTTATATAGGCCTACGTTCTCCTAAACCAAGGCAAATCCTTCACACTTGAAATAACTGTTACCTTTAACAGAGAAGAGAATGACCAGGATGCAAGGCAAACTTAGGAGAAAACAAAATAAACTCCGAAAAAAGTCAGTAAATCAGCTATCTCCCTCCCTGAACCAGGTGTCTAACCTATTTCAGGTTCCAAGCGAAATGTTCATTGTGGCAGTTGACCCTTTTCTTATGCGCTGTGTTGCATGTTCTGTTCCTTCTGAGGGCATGGATTTTATTCAGCTTAGTGAAGGTAAAAAAAAAAAAAAGATATTCCTTTAACATGCCGTTAAGACACATGGGGTCGTGAGACATCGAGGCTCCCATATTTTCTTTAGACAATCGGCTCACAGACGGCGGTAAGGTTGTCAGCCTTACTCGCCTGCCGCCCTTTACCCCCCCAGGAAGATAATGTTATATTTTAAACAACGATAATTCGATTTAAGATAGTCTCCAGCAGATTAACCTCCCATGAGGCAAAACCAATTCCGGGGAGCTAATTGTAGAGTTATATTGTAGTACGTCTGGAAGAAAGAAGTCTTGATTATTTATATTTTTAAGTTCAGTGATTTCGGAAATGTGGTCATTTCCTTGTGGGGGGGGGGACTGTATAAAAATAACAATATGAATAAAATGCCTGCTTATGTTTAATTACAAACTAAAATTCTTGATATCTTGTGACAGACGTAAGAGTGTTGGCATATGCTTCGTCTCTCAACAACCTGAACAGCAACAATGTGTAAGGACTGGAGGAAACATATGTTAGCACAAGGCAGAAGGAAGCAGTTGTGTGAACTTCTGCAGCACAGACAGCAGCGAGCAGACATCGATTAAGGCAGGATACACCCTCATTTGTCAGTCCAGCAGCAGCTCTTCTTAACGTCTTGCACTGCTTCGTAAACACGTAACTCGAGATACCACTCTGCGGTTCGCTATTTATGCGTGACTGAAAGTAGAATTGGTGTTCATTTGTTACGAGAAATTTTTCATATGATTTAGTATCGTTTGTGTCCGTAATTGAAGGTTCTGGTTTAGCCGTCGCAGAAACTCACGTTAAAAACACTTTTTCCACTCCTACTCACACACTACATGCTTCGACAGCATAACGGTCATCACCAGATGAAAAACACAAACGTATTATAAGTCCACACTGTAATGTAAAAGGCTGTAAAATACGTAAAAGAAGAAAATAGGTCGGAACCAACTTCGTTTTTAGATGAGATGTGTATTGATAGATCGCGCCCGTCTTGCTTTATGTAAGTACTCATGTAGTTTCCATATTGGAAGACCATTCTATAAAGTTACTAGCTAGGCGTTGTTGCATAATTTAGGCCTTCCATACTGTAATATTATATTTTCTTTTCCGGGTGCACTCCCTTCACTATTCCAAGCCACCTACAATTCCATGCTGTAGGTTATGAATTGACCTTGCGGCTTGTGTTGTGTAACCAGATGGAGCTGTTAAGAATAATATGGCGTGGACCGGAAGTAGGGGTCGAAGTGATGGCGGTGTGTAGAGTAAGTATATTCTCGTAGAGATAATGGTTAAGAGTGGATGATGTGAGTGTTTGAGAACCAGCACTGGACTGCAGACGCAATGTTATATTTATACTCGTGGCCAGTGTAATCTGTACACTTACATACCACAGGAAAATCTCAGACTTTCTGCTACAACAAGCCTGAAAGTATCTCAGTGATCCGACACTAAACCACAGGTTATTAGGCTTACTATACGTGTATGTACTTCCCTGTAACAAGGGCAGTCGGTGATCACGTTATACTAGCATCTGTCACATTCAGAGAGGTTCTGTTGAATTTTACAATATATACTACTTTTCATACGAAAAGAGCATATTTACAAAATACGAATTTCTATGCTGGGAAGATAATCTTAATTATAAGTTGTTTTTTTCCTGGCACTACAGCCCCAGTGGGCCTAGGCCTACCTCCATGAACTCCGTTCACTTCGGTTTTTCTAGATCTTACACATACGGTAGGACTCCTTGGGCGAGTGATCAGCTCGTCGCAAGGCCTCTACCTGTAGACAAACACAGAAAAACGCACACAAACATCCATGCCCTGAATAGGATTCGAACCCAAGATCCCGGCTTCCGAGCGAGCGAAGACAGTGCATGCCTTAGACCGCTCGACTACCGTGACCGGTTAATTATAAGTTCCCAAGAGAAATATTTTTGCTTGACATAAAATATTTAGTCACATTAACTATGTTCTAAAAGAAGTGACATGGTGGGGGCTATAGGCTATGAACATGAAATCCCATATGCAGTAAAATGTAAGGTAATTTTAAAATCGTAGGTAAATTATTACATTTAAGACTAGTTCATTCAATTATAGATTTTTGCATTTATTATACATTATTGTTAATGTTCAAACGGACAATCGGCCTCCGTAGAAAAGATTTCTCGAGAAGCTGAGAGACACTCAGCTAGTTCAAAAAAGTCCCATCTTTTATGGAATTCCAAAGACCATTTCAGCATGTTCACAAATACCCACCACTCGACCATATTCTGGGTAAGAATGAGTGCAGTCCACACTTTATTTGTAAGACATATTTTAATATTATCCGCCCACCTAACATAGTGTCTCAAGTGGTTTCATACCTTCCAAATTTCAAACGATGTAATATCAAGCCGTAGAAAAAGGAATGTTGGATTTGAGGTTGTCACGGCGAAGATTATGAAGTGCATTGTTTTCTAGTATGTAACCCCCATGTAATCTGGTAGAAACTTAACGACGTTTCGCCGACTCTGAAGAGGGAGGCAATGTAATCCTCCGAAACGTCCGTGAACTTCTACCACACTACACTGTGCCACATTCCAGAAGAGATTGCTCTTCTAAAATGAAGCGGTTTAACTACGCATTTTCCACCTTGTACGGTCCAGTGGTGGGCTCATATGGACACGATAGGCCTTAATCAAACTTCTGGTAATTCCTGGCGACTGTCAGCTTCTCAAGAAGGACTCTGTACTATGGAATTTTTCTGATTGGCCATTTAGGCTTTTAAACGCTAATGATGATCATTGTCTCCTTGAAATTAACTCAATAATGTAATAATAAGAAATTAGAGATAGTAGTTATACAAGGAATTTGATCTAGTATTGAGTATATATTTGCTAGTCCAATCACGTCCATTACTGAACGTAATTACAATAATGATATCTAAGGGGGGGCTAGGAACACGTTTATTCTCCTTCTTCTTTTACGAATTGGGTTCTCTAGTCTGTTCGATTGAGGATTAATTCTGGAAGTACGAATCTCTTAGACGCCGGAGAAGAATTCTGTCTCCTGGAATGTAACGCATTTAGCCCGTTGAAAGTAAACCGTCTTTTGAAAGGACTACGCCGTCCTTATCTTCAGGGTCAGTTAATAAGTGAAGCAAGAAATCAGCATGAAACAAGCAGTTAGTTTTATTTGTTTCCTACTTCATACTAGTTCCTTGCTTGACTCATTTTATATTCGACATTGCTCTGCGTTTCATCCTGTAGTTTATAAGTAAAATTAGGATTAAATTCCATCAAATGCAACAGTGCGTTTTATAATAAAATAGAGGCTTTACGTGTTTCAGTTAACGATGTCCATCGCCTGAAGGCGAGCAACACTTCAAAAGAAATGCTTCACAGGTAGTACATATATGGGTTGTCTTGTAAGTTTGAAACTAGTATTTTAAAACATGTTTCCAAAAGTAATATTTTTTTTTTCTATTAAGTGGAATCTTGCTGTGAAGTCCAGTGGTGGTCGTGTTTATTCACAGTAGGGGGTCTGTATTTTGTTGGTCTCGTGTGTGTGTGTGTGTTCTGTGCTACGTGTTTTGTTGTGTTGGTCGCCTTCCTATGATGGCCGTCATTGGCCGAAACATATAAAAGGTATATTTTATTATTAAAAATATTGTTGCATTTGAAAGTTTACTTGACTTGTTCGACCCTGAAGATGGGGACATTTTCTTCCGAAACGTCGGTTGACTTTCAACGCTCTACATGGCGTTATATCCCAGAAAACCATCACGTTGAGAAGCTGAAACCCATTTTAACATTTGGTAGGTCTCATTGAATGGGGGATCGGTTCATTGTAAAGCGCCAGCTACGCGTGTACACGAAAATTCATCACAAAAAATCCGAATTCGTGACCACAGTGTTCGAGTGGTCATTATGCCCGTATGAAGGTTCTGTTGCTCAGTTTCCTTGAAATGACAACAAAGCCGCGAGTCTATGCAGTCAAGTAAACCAATCTCTGGGTTCTGTTTCTATCTTCCCCCTTATGAACCAAAGACGGCTGCCACTCTCCGTTTAATTCCTTTCCTTCTCGTGCTGTAAATGACATCCCAAAATTATCTCGATTCTTCACCATGTGCCGCTGTTTAACTTTCAGGGGGGGGGGGAGTTGGGGGAAGGGCTGCAAGTTCTGATGAATGACGTGCACAGAAGGGAGCCCAACATATGTTTCTCCTTCATTCCTGCTGGCGACCCCTCATATGAATCAGTCTCCACGCGATGCATACCCACCCCCTGCTTCTGGGTCAGTCTGCTACCCTCCATCAAGCTCTGGTGAATATGTGTTGTATGGTTTCCGGGACCTCATGTCGAAAATCGGTCATCACGAACTCAAGTTTCTTCAGTTGCTCTTTGCGACTGATGGAATAGTAAAATTAAATATGCCACGATCGTTCTCTTCCAATTCATATTCATAATTATAATGAAATTCGGCGCTGTATAACTGATGAACTTGAGAAAACGTCGTTACATTAAAATAAACGTATCACTGTGATCTATGTTATAGTACGGAAAACATTAATGTTATTAGCATCGTTATATTTTATATTCTTCTTCTATGGCGCAACAGCCCGATGTCGGGCCTTGGCCTCCCTTACCAAGCCCCTCATTCCTCTCTGCCCTGTGCTGCTCTCTTCCAGTTCCTTACACCCATTCACTTCTTCGCATCTTCTTCCACTGCATCACTCCATCTATTTCTTGGTTTCCCAGAGCGTCTCCTACCACCTACTGTACTGTATAATATTTTCTTTGAGATACGCTCCTTATCCATTCTCTGTACATGCCCAGCCCATTGCAATCTTTTAAGCTTTATCGTCACTGAGATCTCTGGCTCCTTATATAATTTGTATAACTCTTTATTATATCTTTTTCTCCATATCCCATTCTATTTTATTGGTCCATAAATTCGTCTTAGGATTTTCCTCTGGAATGAACTGATGACTGATTCTTCTTTCTTGTTTAGCGTCCAACCCTCACATCCATAATAAAGCACCGGTCTTATTTTTGTTTCAATCGCTCGGTGTATATCCTTTGATCTAAAAACTGATAGTAATGAGAAATATACACTATTCGCTAGTTTTATTCTTCTTGTTATTTCACGAATTTCCTCTCCATCTTTGTGGAATTTCGATCCTAAATATATGAAGTCTTCAACTATTTCTATCCCGTCCCCTTCCACGTTAATTTCTGCAGTTTGCCTTGGATTCCTTCTAGATTGCATCAGCATTTTAGTTTTATTTACATTCACCTCTAAACCGGTTGTTCTTGCTATGGTTTTTATTTCTTTATATGTCTCCTTCATTGCTCCTAGTGTTCTCTGTACTATAATAATATCATCCGCATACGCCCTTATTTGCGTTTGTTTATACGCTGTTGTGTTCCTTGTGTCTACATTACATTTCCTCGCTATATATTCCAATGCCAAATTAAATAGTGACGGTGCCAAACTATCTCCCTGTTTTAATCCTTGATTTGTCTCAAAGCAGTCCGTTAACTGGTTCTGGAATTTAACTTGATTGATTTTTTCTCTCATGGTTAAATTAATTATTCCACTTAGTTTTGTTGGAATACCAAAAATGGACATAATCATCCTTAATTTCTTCCTTGTTATTGTATCATATGCTTGTTTAAAATCTATGAAGCATAGGTTATATCTGTATTAAATTCCCAGCATTTCTCCGTTATTTGTCTCAGGGCGAATAAATTGTCTATTGTTGACCTATTGGGTCGAAATCCTGATTGATATTCTCCTATTATTTTCTCTATATATGGGTCCAGTATCTTTTTTAGTATCCTTGTTAACATTTTATATGCTGTCGGTAGTAATGATATACCTCTATAGTTACTACATGTTAATTTATCCCCTTTTTAAATATGGGACATATTTCTGGTATCTTTTCTTCTTCCCACACTTTATTTATAATTCTGTGGAGTGCTATTATTCATTCTTGTCCTCCTGCCTTCAATAATTCTGCTGGTATGTTGTCTCCTCCTGGTGCTTTATTTAGTTTTGTTCCTTTAATGCTTCTTCCACTTCTTCCTATGTTGGGGGCACTATTATCTCTTCCTCTTCCCCTTCTCTTTCATCTGTATTTTCTTCTTAATTGTCCTCGTTGTCTTCAATATTCTGATTTTGATTTAATAATTGTTCAAAATATTCTTTCCATGTAATATTTTATATTGCCGGTCACCGTAGCCGAGCGGTCTAAGGCATGTCCTGTCTTCGCTCGCTTGAAAACTGGGATCATGAGTTCGAATCCCACTCAGGGCATGGATGTTTAGTTTGTGTGTGTGCGTTTTTCTGTGTTTGTGTACAGGTAAAGGCCTTGAGGCGAGCTGATCACCCGCCCAAGGAGTCCTACCGAATGTGTAAGATCTAGAAAAACCGAAGCGAACGGTGAAGTTCATGGAGGTAGGCCTAGGCCCACAGGTGCCAAGGAAAAAAAATTATATTAGGAAGTTATTATTAGTGGGACTTGAGTCCTTGTCCCATTTTTGGCATTGCCCAACAAACCACCAACTGGGTTCAAGGCTGATATACTTGTATCTGCCGCACAGTAGATCGCCGTTGAATAACCAATTAACCATCCGCACTCATGCAGACTTTTTGATTGGAAGATAGAAAAAAAAGGACTTGTATGAAGGGGAATGCCTGTCGTGATGAAACGTGGTTTCTCTATACAATTCCTTCTGTTCCTTGCCCATTTTGCTTCAGTTACACACTATATAGATTTTGGTTAGAATCTTCTCGCCTTTCGTAGTCTGGCCTCATCTGTCGTGTACGGTAAATGTATAGCAGTTTCTTCCTCCCTGAGCTTCCACGGACCTCTGGCCTGCTCAAATTCAAAGTGAATTACGAAACAACTAATCCTCAGACACTTAGTAAACTTCATGAATGAGAGTTGTCCATCGAAAGGCATCTACCTACAAACGAGAACATAAAATAAAAGCAGATCTTGTCTCGTATTGAATTCGAATCCACGTTTGCCGTGGCTGTGAATATTTTATACCCATCGGTCTCTATAGAGGCTTCTTTTGTTTAATTTATAAGACCGACAGTATAAATTTTTAATGAGAGTTTTCGTCTTTCACAAGGCTCCAGTCTGTAAACGAAAAAGCAGAAAATCATTGACATAGACTACAACCAAATCCAGGCGGGGATAAAATTTGCAAACCCTATACCCGAGAAGCTCAACATCGTCGACACCTTACACACGTGTTCGGTGAGATAGGCTTATTCTCCAAAACGTGAAGCATCATGGGAACTGAATCTGCGTACTTCCGACTGGATCTACGGAGTAACCGTTCAGTCCTCAGCTTGACGGTGCCTGTCTCAGTCGCTCCTCAGCCGTCGGGTAAGCAGTGTAGCTGGGACCGTGTTCGAAAATGGAGGTTGATCATGTGACGTACATCTTCGGCAGCTTCTCTCGTCGACGTCAGGCTGAAGTCGTGAGGACTCCCAAGAAACTGCCCTCGGATCCGGCCCCCACCACTTCACAGCAGCGTCGTAATGGGAGGTACGAATTGTTGAACACTATAGTTTTGTCGTTTCCATGCTTATTTAACGTTTTTTTCCAGCTGCATAAGTTAAGCTAGAAGGAGGAATAATTATGCATGGCTAACACGCGGTTACGATATATTTCAAGCAAACAGTTCCACCATTTGTCAGGATACTGAGTCCTTTACCCGGGATCTGAACCAGCGACCTACCGAATACAAAGCAGGAGTGATAAACAACAAAGTTCATTGTTAATAAGGAGTCTCGGNCGAGAGAAAATGTCAGAACACGTTGATGCGTAGTGTGGGGCGTGGTGGGGGGGGGGGGGGGGCCGGGAGGGAGAGGGTATGATGAGCCTCGGATTCTTTGTAACAACTGAAATTCGTAAGTGGGAGGTGCTATGAAGATTGATCTTACGGAATTAGGGGCGAAATTGTGTACTGCATCTCCCTGGCTCAGGATTCAGGCCAGTGGAAAGCTCGTTTTAGCTCAGTAATGATCCTCAGTTCTATAAAAGGCGGCGAGTTTCCGAATTATTGACCCCTGAAGCAAGAGGAGGTACAACATTTCGCACTAAATTAATATAACTGTTTCATATCGGCAGAAGTGGTACATATTTTCGAAAAGAATAAAGGATTTGTTATGTTACTGACATGAGAGTAATAAGCAACTGCGGCAATGAATCGTGAACCGAACTTGGTCCTTCAATTTACGCATAAGCCCCTTACTTTTAGGCCCCACACACATATATCCAGCAGACACACATTTTTCACTTTGATACCGCGTGGCCTGAACAGGAGTATCTGCATCTCTCCGGAAATCAACATTTTTGCTATAGATCAGTTTTCTCTGTCGAATATCCGTCAACTGTCCGAGGAGTACCGTTTAGCAGAGTTAGTAATTTCTTTAGCCTGTCAATTTGTCAGTCTGTTAGAAAATCGGTTCGTACATCAGCCATCCAGTCAGCACCTCAGTCTGTAAATCTGCTAGTCTGTTAGTGAGTCAGTCTGTCTGCTCATCAACTATACAGTTTTTTTTTTGTAGTCAATTAGGCTCTTAATTGGGCCCACTTCTACCACTAACTGCCAATCTGTCGACACGCTTTCAGTTGTTAGTCTTGGGATTTAACTGTATGTTTTAGTTACTTTTTTTTCTTATTGCTAGTGGGGTGGGACTAAGTCCCTTGTACTGCTGCCACTTCTGGCCTATTGTACCAGCCCCAGATGATAGGTGAGGGTGATTGTGGAGCAGTTGGTGGAATGAAGACTGGCAGGAGAAACCGAAGTACTCGGAGAAAACCTGCCCCAGCGCCACTTTGTCCACCACAAATCCCACTTGACCAGACCCGGGATCGAACCCGGGACGCCGCGGTGGGAAGCGACTAACCGCTTGAGCTATGGCGCGGCCTTCTTTACTTACTTACTCATGGAGCTGAGCCCTTTTTGAGGCGCCGCCAATTCTGCAGCTACTTAACAATTTTACATTAATGGAACCCGGAGATTCATTATCCACTGGTCTCTATCCTGAACCAGATCAATCCAATCCATACCATCCCATCCTGTCTGTCTAAGATCCATTTTAATATTGTCCACCCACCTACGCCTTGGTCTTCCCAGTGGTCCCTATCCTTCCGGCTTTCCCACCAATATCCAATAGGCGTTCTTCCTCTCCCCCATTCGTGCTACATACCCTGCCCTAAATATTTTTCATAAACTCTGTTAATATTATGTTTCCCTCAGAGCTGAATTGTGCACTTGTGTATGTATGCTTTGTGAAGGGGTGGAGTTATGAAATAAATGAACTGCCATTATACGCTTCAAAGTGATGACGGTAGTGCAAAGCAATGACAAAGCAGATTGAGTCTTACTCGCACATGTCGCTCAAATTTCATGTGATGTTTGTCAGGTAGCGATGTACAGAACTCGTAACCGAAAGGATTCGTGTTTAGTGTCTCATCAACTCTACTGAGAATGAAGAATGTAGCACGCATTAGAGAAATATATTTCGGAGTGTGTCTTCATGTTGTTTCGTTATGTTCAGGCTACACATAAACATCTGTTCATAAGTAACAGCGCGAAAACAGTAGATCACCGTAGGTCGCGGTGCAAGGGCCGGGAAGGGCCACCCTTATACAGTCATTCATACAACAGCGCGAAAACTTTCACACGAATTTTTATCAGTCAGACTCAATGTGAACAGAATTTTCTGGAGATATTTTCTCTTCCGTTTCGTTTGTGTCGCTTTACGAGACGCTTTACTTAACAGAAATGTCAGTATTCTACGTGTTCTGTGACACATGTTTATGGACTGTAACACATGTTTATTACAATTTATTAAAAACTTATTATGAATCTTGATATTCTGTATTTCTGTTGCATATGAATTTTCTTGTGGATTATTAATGTGATTCGCTTCAAAACCTACTTTAATTATCGACCTTAAAATATTTTTGGGCGTTCGCTTCATGTAACATGGAATTTCAGATAGAAGTCATGACACCTGTCTTCATGCCGCGGTCTTTCATTTGCTCAGTTCATGCGATTTTGGTGTCTTACTTAGGCAACGTATTGTCGCGTATCGGGCGTATAACGCGACAGATAACTTCACGTCGTATTTAATATAGCGAATTTTATTTCACATTCGCACTTACAATCACCCAAATTACAGATTTACGATTACTGCTATCTGCAGTATCACAATTAGTACACTCCAAATGCCACAATACAACTGACTAGTTGCTGGCTAACTCGGAACTAACTCGGAGGTAGCTCGAGGACAGACTCGAAGGTAGCTCCAGGACTAACCGTCTGACTCAGTACAACTGACTGTGAATAGCCTTCGCTGCTCCTTATGTAGCCTTGACCGGACAATACGGAAAACGGCCACGTAATAGGCACCCTTGTTGCCTGGCGCTGTGTTGCTAGTAACGCTAGCGGTAGTAACCGCTGTTACTACCGTAACAATCCTGTTGCGTCACGGTTACGTTACCGTGCGGAGGAGGGGGAGGGGAGCGCTGACTCACCCGCCGCGTCACTGCTGGTGGGGGGGGGTTCTCCTTTGCGCAACATGTCACACTATATTTGTAATATTTATAATTCACAAGTTAGCTTATAAGACTGATGCATCGATGGCCATAAGATCGAATCCCAGTCAAGTAAATTGTTAATTGCTTGTAGATGTAAAGGTATTTCGGATTATTATAACTATTGTTATCACCAGTATCACGTTTATGATCATTATCTTTATTTAAAACATTACTAAAGTGCAGAATGTAGTCTACTTTAAGTTCGCTGGATATAACCTCAAAATCTGATACCATTCACAAGTTTGTTGATTGATGAACAGTATATATACAGAATTGTTTCAGGTATGTTTATGCACTATATCCGTGCGAAATTTCGTAAGCCTAGCTCTAATGATTCATTAGATATCACCGTCAAGCCGAAAATTGATAGATTTCATGCAGCTTACAATTTGTTGCTCCGTAATCCAGAAAAGAAAAAGAAAATTTTAAAAAGTTTGCATACATTTCCAAGACCTATTACTGTACAATATTTCAGGACCCTACGTGTAGTGGCCTGAGAGTCTCTCTTACCTCAGTGGTCATTTTGTCCTGCGTATTGGTATTATTGATTATGTGGAATTACTATGGGTTCCGCTTCTCGTGCTCGCAATCCAATAACATCCAGTACTGAGAAGATACAAAATACAGATTTCAACAAACTCTTCTACATTATCATTTTGCATGAAAATTACTGAAGCTGACGACAGAGAGGCTAGAATTAGCAGGCCCCTACTACCTGCAATCAGTGGGTGCACACTCATGAACTCTCACAGCATAATTACGATTAATTTGTAAAGTAGGATACGAGTAGGTAGAGTTCCCTAACCTTCATTCCAAATGTAAAATTCGGTCATCTGGTTTAAACGTTGAAATGGGGCGCTCAGCCGCGCGCACACACACACACACACACACACACACACACGCAGACAGCATGATGGTCTCATTAGTTTACTTTGTTGTCTTAAGGAAAGAACGTAATTTAAAACATGCTGAATAAATGCATAGATACCTACAAAATACACGTATTACGTGTATATTATAACTTGAAACTTGCCTTTCTTATTCCTGAACCAGCCAAGCCTTCCCCGGTTAGAGCTATCGCACGCCCGTGGGGGGGGGGACAATGATCGATAAATACGGAACATGGTGGAATAATGGCTAGGAAGGGAAAACCGAAGAAGCTCGGAGAAAATACCGCTGCAGTGCCAAGTCTTCCACCACGAATCTCACGTGAAGTCGCCCAGAATTGAAAGCAAGGCTCTGCGGCGAGAAGCCAGGGTTTAACCACCTGAACTATGGCACAACCAAAGCACACACTACTTGCATTTGGGGAAAATCATTCACATATGGCAATGCTTTTAAGAAGTTCCCTGTTTTATACAGATCTCCTAGTATTGTTAACATAGACAAATTAAGAAATTTACGAAATTCTGGGTATGCAGCTCATGTTGAGCAGCAAGAAATGCACACAAAATTTTGGGGAGTAATACGCAGTTAGATAGTCTTGCCCTCCAAACATATTAATTTTGGAAGAAAGATTTCAGAATGTTACTATCCTTCTTACTTAAGATGGCTGTACTCCCCAACATGTCGTGTCCTCTCTGTCAGATCTGTATGTGCAGTTGTTTGGGCAATTATAATTTGTAGATGGATGCAACTGAGTTTCGTTTATTAATTCCACAGAGATATTGTTCGCTTCCAGACAGGCGAGGAACTCTGTATTTTTGTTCCGGATCACTCTGGCTCTGTGCGTCTCTGTGGTCATGGTTGCGGATGTTGTTTAACCGAGATCGGGGCTTGAGAGTTATAAACGTGGGACTTTGGGTTCTGAGGAGTAGAAACTAAGAATAGTTATTAAGAGTCTGTTCCGTATTCAAAGACAAGCGATTTGGCGTTAATATTAAACCAAAACACTAATTAGGTCAGCAATGAGTTATGCATGCCCCACAAGGAAA